CCCGTGCTTCCTGCCCCCCCCCCCACCCCCCAACTTGCTGCATAAGCAGGGATCCCCCACTCCTTCCCTCCCACAGCATGGACTATAGCACAGACTTTAGCTAGGATAGTGTATGCTAGCTAATGCTGGGAGGTATCTGTGTAAGGCAGACAGGACAGTGTTTGCTCAGGGCTTTTTGGAGCTAATCAACAGGTCATCTGGTAGTGTCCCTACTTGGAATGTTTCCTTCCTTAGAAAAAGTTGTTTAAGAGCTTGAACTAATGAGAAGAGCTTTGTCTTCTGATGGGTTGCTAAATACTGATAACAGAACTGATAAATGCTCTGTTATCAAGGAGGTGGGGTGAACCACTCCCTAATCAGTGTCCTGCCAGGGCCTGGCCACAGCCCCCTTAGCTCAGCACTGTGGAAGGAAAGGCTGCTGTAGGCCCCCACCCCCCCGCCCTGCTTCTAGTCTAAGCCACTGCATGTGCTGGCATTTTTTCAGTCCAGAGGGGATGTCTGTGCAGTTACAAACTGATTCAGCTTAGGCAAGTTAGATTAACCTACAAAGATTGAATCAATTCAGACTCAGGCTTTTTGAATGTCTGTCCCTAGCCCCAATGACTCATTGCTACACATTTCCAGCCATCGCTTGGGAGGAGGAAACTATTAAAACTACTTTAATGTTGTGATGTGAAGCACCCCAAAGTCTGGAAATTCCAAAGTGAATTTGAAACCCTGTCCCCAAGATGTCTAGGTGCCTTGTCCCTTTCCAATGCCACTTTTGATGGTTTTATACTTTAACAGGAGTCAGGGTAGTGATGGCAGTTGCTTCTTTGAATTAGTGGCTTAATCTTACCCTGTGTGACCCAGGTTCTTATGCCGACATACCTATGGGACTGTTCAGCAGAGGGATAAAGCAGGTAGGTAGCTGAGCCACCTTCCAACCACCTGATGCCACTGGAGGGTAAGGCAGTGACTGAGATGCTCTGCTTGGCTGCTGATGAAGAAGAGTCCTCCACTTCCTGGCACAATACCAGGCACCAGTCTCAGCTGCCCAGGCGTATTTCTCCTCATGCCCCGCTTAAAATGGACAAATGCTTTGCTGTTGTAAGCAAAGCAGGTTCCTCCAGTTGTCTGGGGCTGGTCTGTAAACTGCAGATTGGAAATCACTATATTAAAGCATTAGAACAGGCTGTGAAGCTACCCAAAGCTCACAAATTCACCAGTGTTTACAACACATGAAGTACCTGGTGGCTTCATGGTTTGCTATGATGACACTTGAGATAAAGAATTTTCCTGACTGTCTTTCCTGACGCACAATCCCATGTGTCCCAGTGTAGGTGGAAGGACTTGGGCATCGCAGCTCTTTCGATGTGTCTATGTTGTTCCCCCAACGTGGTGGAATTAAACCATTGAAAACATCTGATTCTCCAAAATCTCAGAGCATTATAAGCGGGGCTACCAGCCCCTCAAGTTTTCATTTTACTTTAAAACTACTCCCCCATTCTTTGTTATGCACATACCACTTTATTATAGAGTTGTATTGCTTATACAATGTGTGGGATGAGTTAACAGCTAAGAATGAAACAATGGCTCAGATTGCATCGAGTCCCAGACAGCACAGTATTAACAAGGAGATTCCAGATGTTAGCTACACAATACATCTTTCATGGTGTATAATTAAGTCTAATAGTGTGCCTAATTCTCCGCTGCTTGTAACAACATGCTTGCTAGTTTTCTGCCACTTCACTGCATATTAAAGCAACAATGTTTTGCTAATTTGAGGCTTGATCCTGTGTTGAGCAGTCTGTTAATATCCACATGGGATTTGTGGGTGTTTAGCATCCCTCAGGATTGGGGGGGTTTGTATGCACATGTATTATTATGACCATGAGTGCATGCCAATTCCTTTAATAAATTAATCTACAACACCCCCTACCATAAAATTAGGCCAACTAGCGAGCAATGGGAAGTAAAACCATAGGGAAAACCAACAGCATTGCAGACCCAAAGCTTACTGATCTGAACTTGCTCTGCAAGCAGGGAGTTGTGCTGTTCCGTAATGAAGCATTTATTCAAACTGTTTGATAGTCTTGGAGACAGATGCGCTTTGCAGTTGCTAATGGAGGTTTAGTGTTAAACATGAAACCCGTTCATTTTTTTTTTTAGGCTTACTTTAGATTTAAACAGATGTTTTTCTAATCTGTGGTTTTAAAAATGTAGCTCACTGACAAGCCATCACAATTAATGACAACTTTATCCCTGCACTTTAGCAAATTGGTCAATTATTAACAGTAAATGTTGTATGGTAATTGATGTCTAGCTCTTGTTGGTTGGAAAGGGCCAAACCGAAGTTTAATACATTTTGACAATATGAACAAATTGAGTGTTGGACAGCATTCCTGTTATTCAATAGCCTAGTACTGTATGTAATAGCTCTAAGAATGAACAACCATTTGAAAAGTGTTGATTATGTGTGGCATATGTCAGCAGAGGCTGTGGAAAGTAATAGCTCTGGTTGGCGGAGAGTAGATGCCGCCATTTCTTTGTAAGGGCTTTAAAGTGGCTATGGGCACGTCTACATGTCGTCTACATGTTGTCCTACATTGCCATAGCGATGTGCTAGGTTACCAGACAGTGCGTTATGGCAGCATAGCAATCATGTGAGTCTACATGTCATCGGCAGCTACTTCGTTGTAGCAGCATGCTCCCCTGTTATAGCGGGCTGCTACGGTGAACTAGCAGTGAAAACTAACCATGCGCTGTGCACACAGCGCAGTATGGGCAATTACTGCACCATGCTTTAATGCTTCCAAAAGGAAGTGCAGGTAGTTCTCGACTTACAATGTTTCGAGTTACGTTTCGCGCTTACAACGTTTATAAATTGACACCCTGTTTCAACTTTGACATCAGTTTCAACTTTACAACACTTGATCTGATGCAATGCCACACCAGAGAACAAGTTCGCTGCGTCACCAATCTCCCTGGAGAACATCTGTCCAAACTTCTTGGACACTGTCTTTAAGAAAGCAGACAAGACTCCAGAAAACCTGCAGCCAAGACTCCTGAGAACACTCTGGCTAAGAACCCTTCAAAAAGTCCAACCAAGAGCCTTTCAAAAAGTCCAGCAAAGTCACCTCAAAGAAGTCCTTCCAAACCAATATGATTGCTATTTACAATATAAATACATTAGTGGAGCTATGTTACTCATCTATAATTGATCGAGTACAAAATTCTGGGTTATTTTTGGTGTCGATAGGGTATCTGGCCTTGGTTCAGGAACCAATCCCCCATTTATAACATTGTTTCTTATGAGAAAATTTGTTCTGAGTTGCAACATTTCGATTTAAGATGCGGTTTTCAGGAACCAGTTGTGTCATAAGTCCGAGGACTGCCTGTACTAAAGCCCGATGTCGTAACAACGTTGCCACGACCCATTCTTTTATGGTACTCATGGAAGGCGTGTGGCCAAAGGGTACCATGTAATGCACATCCACAACAGATTTTCCTGTTTCTTGGAAGAACACAGGATGGTCATTGTTGGCAGATCGGGCACTGGTGTCCATATTTAGGACCATGTATTTTCTATTACATAGCTGTGTTCTAAGTTGCTTATAAATTTAACCATTCACGCTGAGATTTCTCTATGCTGTTTGCCTCAAGCTGAGTGGTCATTTTGGTAGGGTTGTTTTTTTTTTTTTCCCAGGTTTCTCCAAAAATAATTCAGCTGTTTCAGAGATCGAAGTTAGGGCAAAATGCATTGCTATAACCGAAAATATATGCTGACCAGAAAGGGTGCTGTGTGCGTTAATTAGGTAATGCTTTGTAAAACAATGTAAAAAAAGAAATCAGTATGCGTGTGTGAAGTGTTATAGAATAATAGAAGAATATAGATCAAAGGTACCTTAGGAAGTCTCTTCCCCAGACCAGATTATTCTTTCCCAACCCCCTTCCAAATATTGATCTAATCTGCACTGAAAAGCTTTCCAGTGACACACATCCCACAATTTCTCTAGGTAATCCACTCCAGAGCTTAACCATTCTCAGAGTTAGAAAATCCTTTCTAACATCTTACCCTAAATCTTCCTTGTTGCAGTTTAAAGTTACTGCTACTTGTTCTGTCTCCCGTGGGCACAGAGAACAATGGATCTGCATATTCTTTATAACACCCATTTTGTATTTGAAGACTGTTCTCAAGCATCTCCTCAACCGTCTCTTCTCCAGGCTATAAGCCCTTCCTTAAATGACTGCTTTCACCCGACCAGCTTTGTTGTGGACTCCTTTTTTACGCTGACTCAATAGAGAATCCCATTTGTTGCAACCTGTAGTATAGGAAAGTAGAAGATGTGTGAGAGGGTTTATGATAGCAGTGTACTGATTTGAACTGTGGCCAGCACAGAATCAGCAGTTCTCGGAGCAAGTCAGTGGTCTGATTCCCCTTCCTAATATTATCACAAAAGCACTATCAGAAGCCATAATGCTTCAGTAGAGAGGTCCAGGATTGCATTAACCTTGAAGGGGGAATTACTGTCTAGCCCCTGGCATCATCCTTTAATTTTAAGCCAAAGGTTGATGCAAATGTTGGGGAGTCTCTTGAAAATCTTGTACTTCTGTTTCTCTTCTGTGGATATACAGTTTGCCAGTCATGAGTGTAACATACACTTTAAATGAGTTGATGTCTTCTTCAAAATCCACTGAAGGCAATGGAGTTTTTCAATTGATGTCAGTGGGCTTTGGATCGGATTCAAAAGTGAGGTTTTTTTAAAGGTGATCTTGAAACATTAATCTCTGCAGTAACATCTTAATTAAAATGAATACGGCAGCAGACACTTCATTAGAAGAGACTGTTAATACAGCATCTTTAATCATCCCCTCCCCCTTCCCTGGTTTAGAGAAAGTAAATCTCAAGGACGGGTGAGGGGTGGAGGGGTGATATTCCAGGCCACATTTTGGTAAGAAGGGGACACTGTTAAATTTGTGGGGTCAATTTAACTCACCTGTCTCCTGTTCCTTTCCAGTGCTGCGAAGCTTCTGGAGAAGAACCCATTCTCTGTCAGCACCCCGAATCCTTTGCTTCCTTCTCCTGCCAGTCTCCAGCTCGCTCAGCTCCAAGCTCAGCTTACCTTGCACAGGCTAAAATTGGCTCAGACAGCAGTCACCAGCAACCCAGCAGCTGCAAGTGTCCTGAATCAAGTGCTCTCCAAAGTGGCCATGTCTCAGCCGCTGTTTAACCAGTTACGGCATCCGTCCATGATCAGCACCCCCCAGGGGCATGCCGGAGGACCTCCGCAAGGACCTGGGATCACTAATGCTAGGTTTCCATCTAGTGGAATCCCTTTTCCAGCACAAAATCCGGCTCTGGCAGCACAAGGAGGAAGCACAGGGCCTGTTGGGAACATGCAGACACAAAACCCAAGCGCTGTGGTCATGAACCCCTTTGGGAGTGTAATGTCTCAGGCGTCCAGTCAACAGGCTGTAGTGATGGGTCTGAATAAGACTGGTCCCTCAACTGTTGCAGGAGGATTTTATGAATACAGTAAACAAAACGTTTCTGCCCCTCAAGTGTACACGTCAGATGCAGAACAATCCACTCAGCACAGCTTTATAACCACTGGGTCGCATTCAGGAGTGTCCTATGAGGGTCATTTTTGTCCTTCAGGCCAGCTCAAACATGACAGCCAGTCTGGGTTTCAGAAAGATTTCTATGGACCCAATTCTAAAGGGCAGCCTACAGCAGGGCTACAGCCATTGGCTTTCCCGGGTGATCAAATTGTGAGTCAAAAAGCAGAGCCAGGTCCCGTGTTACATGGTGCAGGTACAAACAACCAGTGGGAAGATGTCCCTAATTTCTCCAGCCAAAACAAGCCTGACCTAATGCCCAGTCCCAGGATGTGGCCATCGACAAGTCAGCAGTATGAAATAAGAAACGAGCTCTACAACCCCGAAGAACCCACCCCTGACACAAAGTTTAGCTCTGGGGCTCCAGGTCCTTTCAGCAGACTCAACAATAGTAAACAGAGCTTCAGCAGTTCCCGAATGAGGCAGGATGAGGACCCGGTGGCAAATGCATCCAATTTGCCTGTGAGATCTCTACAGCCTCATGAGTTAAATGACTTTCATGGGATAGCCCCGCTTCACTTCCCACATGTCTGCACGGTCTGTGACAAAAAGATCTTTGATCTAAAGGTAAGTGACTCTAAGGGATTGTTCTGCTCTAAAAAGTAATTTGATGGAATTGATTTTGGGGTCTCTATGTTCATATTGTCTCACTTCACTGTGCATTGAAAGGGTCAGCTGTACAAGTAAGAATGTCTTGGTTGATTTTTAAATGCCAGTCCTAGAAATGTGCAGGGGTGTAGGTTGTAGCCATGTGGGTCTAAGAACAGAGGCAGGGAAATCTGATATCTTTTATTAGACCAACTCAAATAGTTTGAAAAAATGACAAAGGGTATGTATACCCGAAAGCTTGCTAAAAAGGGCCCTAGAAATCAAATGTCTGTCTGAGAGTCAGGTTGCATTCTTTTACCCTTGCATATTCTCACAAGACATACTGATGTTTTAAAACAAAGGATTCTGCCTGTGTGACCCTAGCAACCTTTGTTAGTGTAATCCAGATATAACTGTGGGCATAATTTGTGGATTTGACTGACAGATTGTAATTCTATTTTGCGGCCACATCAACATGCCTGGTGCAGAGGGGCTGGACCCGATGATCTTCCAAGGTCCCTTCCAGCCTTACAGTCTATGAATTTATGAACATTTATTCCATTCCTGTGAAAATGGTGGAAAACCAGTGTTGTCGCTCTTTAGCTTGGTGTTTTTTTTAAAGCACTAGCTTAAGATGTGAAAGCTAAGGGTCAAGTCTT